AAAAGGGCACCAGTTTCGAATGTCAAATGCTTGCAGTGAACGGCTTGCAAATCATCCGCACACCCAGCATTATTCAGAGGGATCAGCTGGCAAATGATGTCTAATGCCCTGGTCAACTGGGAAAAATCGGGCTCTTTTCACAGACCGAAAACGAGGCGAGGCTGGCCAAATACACACACACACCACAGACATCCTCCTAGGGCACTAGAATTTAGGACATTCTAAAAGAAGGGTATGTCTACACTACCCTCCTATTTCGAACTAGGAGGGTAATGTAGGCATACCGCACTTGCAAATGAAGCCCGGGATTTGAATTTCCCGGGCTTCATTTGCATAAGCCGGGCGCCGCCATTTTTAAATCCCCGCTGGTTCGAACCCCGTGCAGCGCGGCTACACGCGGCACGAACTAGGTAGTTCGAACTAGGCTTCCTAGTTTGAACTACCGTTACTCCTCGTGAAATGAGAGCCACCCTTACCCATTTGCACAATATGCAGCTACGTAGGGCACCCGAAAATTTGGGGCATCGCTGGGTCTTAATGTCCACCTATCCACCTCTTCCTACCCCGTTCTGTGGCTCTGCTTCCTAAAGAGAGGATCTAATTCACTTAAAAGTGAAAAAGCCTGCCAGATCTTTGCAAACACCTGCCATGGGGGGGGAGGGGGGGTTGGGAGAAGCGGCTCATGCATAGTTCAACTCCTCCTAACCAAAACCTACCACAAATAAAAATCATGAAACATTGTCTATTGATTCTCTTTTCCCCAGCCTGGCTCTTCAGGTTCAGAACTGTCTAGTGTTCTGTTTATATCGTCCTACCACAACAGAATCCTTATCTTGGTTGGTAGGTACTACTGTCATCAACCTAATTCATTAAGTATCCCCCCTGATTGTTCTATGAAGATACCCAAGAGTTAATGTTGTGTATTGAATGGCAGGATTTGGACTTGTGTATTTGGACTTAGACAACGTCAGCAATTGTCAATGCATTCCCCTTCACGGTACCATTTATACAAGTTTTCTAATAAAAATGTTTAATCGACTTTTTAAAAAATGGTTAATCAATTATGATAGAGGCTAACGAATCAGTTGCTCATAACTCGGGCTAGGAAGACGAGGTTTTCTTGCCCTTTGCAAATTTTTCACATTTTGAAAAATGTTGCACATCTTCCATGGGGACAAAATCCCCCAAATCTCAAAAAGATGCCTTGACTCAAAGCCATGGAAATGGACTGTTTCCATGGTGTCAATATGGGAGCATTTGACACAGTCTTGGAACTTTATTTTAAATTAAACTCTTTTCAAGTCGGATGCTTCACTGCGGCCGCTTTGCAGACTGGCGTTTTCAGCGCAAAACATTATGTTGAAAAACCTCCAAGCACCCTTATTACAACCATCTGGAATGCTTTCTACTGCTGTGTTTATCCCTGTCTATAAACACACACTAGACCATCGAATGCTCACGGATTAACCCTTTCTACACTCTTCATGAATGAAATCTTAACCCCATCGCAAGCAGAGACACGCTGCAGATACCGGAGAACTGTAATTATTTATCTCAAGTAACATGATTTTTAGAGCCATCATAAAGTTTGTCCAAATCCATCTTCTAGATAATTTTTTTTAAAAATCAACATCTAGATTCAGAGGGTGAAATCTGGCCCTATTGAGCTGAACAGCAAACCTTCCATTGACTTCAACAGACCAAGTTTCACCCTGGCACAGAAGCCAATAAGAGCCTTGCCGTTAATTTGTACAGAAGAGGTTCCAGGCCATTAGAAATCTATTTTACATTCATAAACACTTATTTAACGTGAGATTTTGGAGGTAATATCTAGGTGCTTACCTTTGGAAACAGAGCCAATGGAACTAACTCATAAATCGCCTACAATAATAATCAGCCATTAAAGAATCATAGATCAGTTTAGCATAATTTGCTGTTTCCAACATTAACGGCTTTCCCCACATTAATGTCATACTAATCATGCCATATTAAGGCTCTGGATCTGTTTGTCTGTGTGCTTTTCTCTGTGGCTCTTCTAAGAAACTGTCACTAAATCTAGCACTTGAAGAAACCGAGCTATAGACAGAATGAGGGGAGGATTAATAGACATGGAAAAGTTATTAAAAACATACAAGTATGGGAAACCTCAATACAGTTAAAAGAAATTGGAAGGATCCAGAGATACTTGAGGTTCCCCCCTTCTTCTCTACATTGTGTCACACTAATTAAAGTGATCCGGTTATGAAAACAATTTGCATGCCCACTGTAATTCATACTGTCCCCATTCTGTTGCAATCCCTTAACTTCTGAAGGTTTTTTTCACCCCCTTAAATCTCTGATTCTGTTCGCACACAATTCAAAATGGCACAACTCCCACCGATTTCAGTGGGTTAGGATTAAGCCCTGAATAAATTAAGTAACAACCAATTTCATTTATAATTACACCATCAAAGGGTGGGTTTTTAAAAAAATGCTAGTAAAAAGCTATTCGCAAAATGCAGCCATCTAGGTATCTAGTGGGTATATTCACAGGAAATTGGCTCTTTGTTTGTATACCTTTCTATATGTCGCTCTTTCTCTAGGTTGGAATCATTTTCCCATGTAAAAGTCCCAATCTGCCAGGTCCCCTCCAATGGTGAACATCAGCCTGGCTCAGTGCATTTCAACAGAACTATTGCAATTTGGCCCAGCTGCAAATCTGGCTAAGTGACTACACTGGGACTGCTTAGTTGAATTAGAAAGATTTCAAATAGGAGTCGAGGCAGCAGGAGTGGGCCCTGTCCCAAGCTAAACGTTCAGAAGTCAGGAAAAATGGACCACTCTAAAGCACAGCCTCCAAAGCCAAGCAGGCGGCAACGTAGACAGGTGTTTCTATTGTGACATTTCGGCATATTTCCCCTTCCCTGCCATCCTAGCAACAAAGTTGATTCCTCAGGTACATTTTGATTTCTCTCTCAACCCGGCGACGCATTCAACTGCTTTTGATCCCACAAGGAACTAAAAATCCCAGCAGGATTTTTGCCAGCGGATGAACACGACACACAGTCACGAGCCCACAAAACACACCCCAAAAACCCAAACAACAACAAAACCCAACAACCCAACCGCCAGTTGTTACTTTTTTTCAGCTGAATCTCTTCCGTTCATTTCATTCTCAGAGAATTCTTTCCTTGTTTCCTGAGGGTTTGAAAACCACACCACGCTTCTACTCTCAAAAAATTCGGCTTCAAACTTTCCCTGTCGCTGCAGGAATTAAACGCAGGACTCCACAGGACTTAAAGGGAGGTGACAGCCGCGGCGGCAGTGAAATAGATGTGTGCTAGAAAACACCCTCCTTATTAACGTGCCGAGAGAAGAACGCAATAGACTCGGTTTTCTAACAAATCTGATATATTTCCAGTGTTCCCGAATTAGATCCTGGGTGTTGTTCTCCTGTATAATATAATTCTGAACTTTTAACTCCTTGGGACAGTCTCCATTAAGTAAGTCCACTAGCCCATAAAATAGGGTGGCCACAATTCTGGTATTTCCAGGAACAGCGTGGGCCCATCCCACCTTCGTGACCTTGCCTGCCACCCAGAGGGTGAGACTTTGAAGAGCCACTGGCGTGACCTCACATGGATGGGCTGAGCGGTGCGCTCTTTGCCCATCCGAAATACGGCACAGGGCAGAAAGCCACAGAGAACCGGAGGCCTGTCTGGTTTGACATGGGGCGAACGGCCGGCCTCCCACCAGCACACACACCTGCCAAACCACACCCAGAAA